CTAGTAAGGCACTTGTTACTACTAGCGATGCACCTGTTCCTAGTAGCGAACCTTGCTACTACTAGTAAGGCACTTGTTACTACTAGCGGTATTCATTTCGCAACATCGCAGTCCTGTGTTGGTCCTCAATGACTTTTCCTACCCACCGTCCGTCCGACCAGTCCAATCCCTTGGCTTTTTGGGGTCCGCCAGGTGGTTCGCCGTGGCTTTGAAGGTCTGTTCGACTTCTTGTACCTTCCGTACCATCCTCGGCCGCAGAATGTGTGAGATTCCTTGGATGTGTCCCGTTGCGCCACGGGATCAGTGGGCATGGTGGGGATGTTCATCCCCGCTTGGACTGTGCCAGTCACACTTTCCCCATGGCTCGGACTTAGAAGATTCGGATGGGAAGGTTTTGCGGCTCAGTGTGGTGGTTTCTCGATGGTGGTTTGGCATAGTCACGAAAGCTAGCGTCAGCTAGCTGGAGTTACTCTTGCTTTAGCAAGTCATTGGCTGGGGGATGGAATGACCTACCCAGTGAATAATTCATGTGTAGACCCCCCCCTGGCGGGTTCAACTCCCCCCTCCCCCACGTCTGATCAAGGCATCGGAGAGGACAATCCACTAGGTCATTTGGCAACCAGAGACCTTCCATAACAAACATGTAGAATTGCCCTCTCCGATGCCTCTCGCTGCATTACGTTTCCCAGCCATGCTAGCTTTCGTCACCAACCCCCGCCCTCAAGTTTAGCTACTTAGTCTTGGAACCAATGATTGCTGTCCAACATGACACAAGAGGAGAGTAAGAAGCCATACAAAAAAAGATACACATCCAAGCATCCCAAGCATCCAAGACCAATATTCAATCATTCACATGTTGTTAACAGGGATGTGTACCCTGATTACTGGAATCTGATTGTCAAGATAAAACCCGTTGGCGAGGTTGATGCCCTCGAACTCCTGACCTCGTATGAACTCGATCAGACAGGACTTGCTTTGAGGTGGACTTCGTCTTGTAGATTTGGGCGCCTCTTTTGCCGTGCTTTGAGTTTCAATACTGTTTGGACCATTTTGGACCCCTCTACTTGTAAGGAGACATGTCGTGTTCGGTGTGGAAAAATCCCTTGCAAGTGTCACCTCTTCGTGTCTCCTGAGTGTCCCGAGGTATGATTTCAAGAAGGGCATCAATGTGGGCTACGGCTTTGTGAACTTCACTGAACCCGAGCTCCCCGGTCGAGAACGAGGGCTGCGGAAGATGGGAAGATGTGACAGCGTCGTCTGGAGGAACCAAGGCTCAGTTTGAGTGGAATGCGCGTGGAGGAACCAATGCTCCAAATACTGTAAGAGGTCCATGTGCTGGAAGTCCTCTTCTAATTGAGGTCGTTCAAGCTGTGTATACGGGGTCCATACGGGGACCGTTGAAGGGGACCAGACGCTGCGAAGAATCGGGGGGGATGCGAAAAGACTGCGATCCACCAGAACTAAGGGGGAGACGATGTGAACGAAGCACAGACCGATGGGATCCTGGATGTTCCAGGTCAAGTCTCGCAATCGTCCAGGGAAAATACAGCCAGTGCTGCTTTTGGTTGGCTGTTACGGTTCAGATTATTGTATGCTGGGTTTGGGTTACGCTTCAACCATTGCCCATTGGTCATGCTTTTGGTGGACGTATAGAGAAGCCTTGTTCTATTTGGTGGTTATAAGAATGCCTTAGGCGAAGTGCTATTTAAGCTTGCCTGTTGTGAATCCTTCACTTATAAGAGAATGTCGTTTGTTCGGTTGCTTTTTTTCACAGGAAAGACATGTTGGGTAGATCTTATACGACAGCGATCTTATTTTCTGGAACTCTGGATTATGGTGGTTAACAGTAGTTCAAAGGGACCTCAACATAAAACAGAAATGCAGGGGTACTGAGTGGTCCAGTAAATACCTCCTAGTATTGGGATCATTGCCTTCCAGTAATTGTTTGTTGGCCCAATACGATGCTGGTCACCTGCTGGTCATGTGCTTGCACTGCCTTCCAGCCTCCATGGAACACACATGGCAAAGACCAACTGATGTAATCTTTTCTCGTTCCTAGACCAAACACAAGCTACTAGGAACAAGTGCATCACTTCTACTAACAAGTGCCTTACTAGTAGTAACAAGAAGCTACTAGTAGCGAACATTGTTTCTAATAGCTTCTTGTTACTACCAGTAAGGCACTTGTTACTAATAGCTTCTTGTTACTTTCTTTTCTCGTTCCTACACTCACACTCAACTCACTGAGACATTAGCAGCGATTGGCTTCCCGAAATGACCCAACGCTTCCCCCACCTTGGAACCGCGCTGCTTGAAACACCTTGGAACTCCGTGTTTTCAGGTATGCTTTGCAATTCCGTGACTCCTTGGATGGGCAGTACTTGGACAAATACATGAGGTGTTTTGGGGAGGGATATTGGGCTGAAGCGGAACTGGAACTGGATGCCACCAGTGAGTTGGAAGCGGGCAGGAGAAGCGGAGAAGCATGGAGAAGCATGGAGAAGCATGGAGAAGCGGTATATATATCATATACGTATTCCATGGCCCTTCCAGAGAGGTTGGAATGGCAATGCTGCTCATTGAAGGGTGTGCCTGACCAACAAATGGAGCCTGAGCGGGAGGGTGAGCCCAAGGAATTTGGAAAGTGCTGAAGACTCAGTATTCAACAGGCCCAATCCTTACAATGAACTACTTGTGGTTTGATGACATGTTCTTTTTCTTTTAGATGTGGAACAACATGTCTGTACGAGTGCCAAACATATTCGCTACTTGGGTACCTGATTATGCGGAGAAGCTTGTATACACCTCGACCTAGAACCTCTTTAACACCTGCTTACATAGGAAAAACATATTAAGTGCTTGGTAACTAAGGGTCTAGGTGTTAAAGGAAACCGTGCTGGCACCCACGTGCCACATACATCCTTACACTCACCACTACCATGTGTTCCTGAACTGTTACCAAGCACTAGCAGCCTGACACCTTGAAAAAAGAGCTCGCTGCCCCCACATGGACGCTGCTCTTCAGCGCCCATTTGCAGGATGAAGGGCAAGGCCGTCCGTGTGCATCCGGCACAAGTACAAGGATACGAGGCTGACCAGGGAGTTGCGCTGAAGTTGTTTACTCAGCGCCTACGGGTTTGCACCACTGAGGATCAGTTCGAGCGCGACACAAGAGACACTAGCAGACCTACACATTGTGACCTTGCGTGGGTGAACCCTTTGTATATGAGGATATATGAGGTGTGAAAGGCCGGGGAGGAAGGCCGTAGTATCGGCTAACAAGCAGCTAGTAATGAGTAGTAAGGGTTAAGTGGTAGCGTATGAAGCTACTGCTTGGGACGCAGAAGGGCTCAGGCTTGTTCAAGGAAGCTACCCCCACCTGAGGGCGGGGGAACTTCCTTGACGAAGCCCGAGCCTTTATGACTTGATTCTTAGATTTTTAGCTTGCAAGCTTGTGGCTGTTCCACTTGCAGCTTGCAGAATCTCACGTTTGAAACTGGCGCATGTTCTCTTTCACGTGCCACGCCAGACTTGACCCATTATATAGATGCCAAGTCCGGCAGTGCCAATTGATGGCTATGTAATATGTATATACAGCGTCTTGATCTTTCATCGGAAGTGAAGCATCACCTGAAAGCTCATCGTCAACAGATCCTCTTTAGGACATGCCTCACTTTGATGTCATCCTTCAGTGGTGCAACATGTATTGCAAACTTCTTCATACCACACTCCTGCAGAGGACCACATGGATAAAGCCATTTCATTTCTGCTTGGTGACACGTGAAAGGAATCGTTCAACAATTTTCATCATCCACATGAGCGTTAGGCCCTTCGAATGGAAAACACGATACCAATCCAGCCATACAAAATCTCCTTGTCCGGCGAACGACGACGTCTTCGACTGCTTTCTCCTACCGCACCACCAGTGCAGGCCAACTACCGCCACTTCGCGCACACCAAGACTGGTCAGAAGCAGGAGCGTCATCACCGTCGTCATGGTGGTGGAAATGGATCCGAACAGATGGAGAACGACGGTTGTTTGACGACGAACCGATGCGTTCCGGGAAGAAACCGGCGCAAAGCCTCCGATCACACGGTCGGAGGTGTTTGAAAGAATCTCATGAGACATGAGACCTTTTCGGGTCAACACTCATGGAAACCGGTGTGTTATGGTGGTAAATGATGTGCTGATGTGTGCCGTGCCATGGCCTTAACATAAACAATTTGCATGCGCTGCTTTTTGGCCCCACACATGATCGAGCGGTGCTGTCAGGGTTGCTGAGCCGCCGAAAATGCTGAGCAAATCCTGTATGACTGTATGACCTCAAAATCATGATTGAAAACATCCAACATCCTCTTCGTCCCTTTTCCATCATTTGCGAAGGACGTTACTCACTCGGATATTCCAGGTTGTGCGGGACAACCTCTCCACTCCCACATTTCAATAGCGCCTTTTGCATCGAATCCCAAGTGGGGAGGATCCTGCTTTCAGCCCCCTCTTCTTCTCAGCTCCTTGGCATTGAGCTGGGGGATGCCTTGTTTCAGGGGACAAGTGGATGGTTTGAAACGGGCCAAGTGCTGAGTTACTTGGTGGAACAACGCCGACTGCTGATGGGCAATATGGCGTATGCGTGTTTCTTTGAAATGTTCACTTTTCCAAGATAAATCGTGATTTTCCGACCAAGGAAGCTCTATGAAGCTTGATGAGGGACATGGAAGTCCCAACATTGAATGAGACCCCAACATCTTGATTAAGGTGACCATCATGGAATCAGGATGTGTCCGAGCATCAGTGACGAAAGAAGGTCTTGTGGACAGGGTGTACAGTAGAGTTCACCAAGACACCTGAAGACTGTCATAGAGTGTCCAATATCCAAACTCACAACTCATCACAGCTCCTCGTTATTCTCCTGCACAGCTGAGAAAACATTCTTGGTTGCCTTGCCCAGAAAATAGATAGTCCACATGGCTAGCCACCACAAGGTTCCACTAGCTTGTCACCACATCTCGGATGACCGCTGAGATCTCCGTTGTCCCGAAAATGCCGCGCCCCTCGACCACTGGTCGACGGCGCATCCCAGGTGGGAGACTTCAAGGCAAAGGATGTGATGAAGATGATGGAGGCCCTAGTAGCGTCCGTGCTCCTAGTAGTAAGGCCAGGAGCCCCTAGTAGCTTCTTGTTGCTAGTAGCAAGGCCAGGAGCCCCTAGTAGCGTCCTTGCTCCTAGTAGCAAGGCCAGGAGCCCCTAGTAGCTTCTTGTTACTATTAGCAAGGCCAGGAGACCCTAGTAGCGTCCTTGCTCCTAGTAGTAAGGCCAGGAGCCCCTAGTAGCGTCCTTGCTCCTAGTAGTAAGGCCAGGAGCCCCTAGTAGCTTCTTGTTACTAGTAGTAAGGCCAAGAGCCCCTAGTAGCGTCCTTGCTCCTAGTAGTAAGGCCAGGAGCCCCTAGTAGCGTCCTTGCTCCTAGTAGGAAGGCCAGGAGCCCCTAGTAGCGTCCTTGCTCCTAGTAGTAAGGCCAGGAGCCCGTAGCAGCTTCTTGTTACTAGTAGTAAGGCCAGGAGCCCCTAGTAGCTTCTTGTTACTATATAGTAGTGAGGCCAAGTAGTTTCTTGTTACTAGTAGTAAGGCCAGGAGCCCGTAGTAGCGTCCTTGCTCCTAGTAGTAAGGCCAGGAGCCCCTAGTAGCTTCTTGTTACTAGTGAGGCGAGGAGCCCCTAGTAGCTTTTTGTTACTAGTCGTAAGGCCAAAACCCCCTAGTAGCTTCTTGTTACTAGTATTAAGGCCAGGAGCCGCTAGTAGCTTGTGGTTACTAGTAGTAAGGCCAGGAGCCCCTAGTAGCTTCTTGTTACTAGTAGTAAGGCCAGGAGCCC